TATGGAGGCTTGTTTAGCCTCGGTTTTTATTGGGAGTATGTCTGAGAGTGATACCCCAAAGACGTTACAAGGATGAAGAAATGTTATAGGAAGGAAAGGAGATGACTTTAGACTTATGTTGGATCATTGTTCCCCTTTGACAGGGAACTCACCGAGGAAAGAGTAGTTGGTGTGGACGAAGACAAAGATTTACCTTGATCTTTCAAAGTGTGACAAAGACGTTCAAGTTCAGGAATCGATAAGGAGGCAATAATGGTCTTAGCGTGGTCGGACATAGGATAACGCTTTTCAACGTGCTGTACCATGGCGTCTCGATCAGGGGAAGGAGGCTGAGGTTTGAGATCAATTTGGTCATCGGGGATAAAGTCACTAATAATGGCATCATTGTGGCTTTCAAAAGGCGAAGGATCAACGCTGAGCATGGAGATATCTGAATTTGAGCTATTGACTGAATACGATGAAGGCGATGATGGTGTAGGTGGGTTATAAGTATCAGGTGTAGGCTTGACTTGACGGTTGGTACATTGGGCTGCTCGGTGACCTGGTTGGCCACAGGTCCAACAAAGACGGCTACGGCTAGGATGGCGGGGACAAGCAGAGGTCGCATGACCAGCTGTGTGACAACGAAGGCAGTGTAGCGGCATTTCAGCCCAAGTGGCGTGGAACGAATCATCTGATGTAAGCCAAGGGATAGTGTGGGAAAGCTGCTTGTACTTGTAGTTGGCTGGGATTTTCAAGGTAGCGTAACCTCGTCCCATGAAGAGGTTTGATGCATGATCACGGAAGATGCCATAGTCACTAAGGCTACCATAAGGTGCCAGGGATTTGCGAAGACCAAGTCTTAATTTGTCTAGTGTAGTGAATGGAAGATCGGAGAGTTGAAGATGCACTAAACGGGTATCAGCGGAAATGGGCTTTGAGGCAAGAATACATTCACCATCATCAAAGGTGATGCCTGTTACAGATGTCTCTTCACACTGCTTGGATGTGGGAAGGAAGAGCTCAACAATGCGGCGTGATTGATCAGAATGAAGACGTACACCACAATTGTCTGGATAGCATTCGTTGATATAGCAAAGTAGAGCAGCGCGGTTTTCGGGGCGAGACGTGAAGTCGAAAAACATGCTAGGACAAGAAGCTGGGGAACCACCAACCTTCCATACTCTGGAACGGATGGTATTGTCAGTATCTTTTGATATCAGAGACTCCTTTATAGGAGGATGAGCACGCGTAGCATGAGCATAAGATGGGTGACGTTGTTGACTGTTTTGGGTGCCTGATGCCTTATCAGGCGATTTGATAAAATTCGCGGAAGACATGGTGGTCGACCTCTTCGACGACGACGACCAAAAAATTATTTTTTGGGCTGTTTGCGACATTGAACGTGAAACTTTCACACAAGGTGCTGTTGGCCAAGCCGAGCCCATTGCTCTATTCAAAACCCCACGTTCGTTTGTAAAGTTTGGAGATACAGGCGTCTTTATGTTTTACCAATGCCGTAAGCGTGATGGAGTTGCTTTCTCCTAATGGATGGTGTCGACTGCATTAACGGAAAGATGAAAAGCTGAGGGAAATGCACGTGGTGGTTACACAAACACGTCCTTGACAGGTTGCTGCACAAATGGATGATAATGATGATGATTGCCTTTTTGTGAAGGTACGTAGGAAATGTACACCATCTAGTAATGAAGGTGTGTAAAGGTATGTGCATGACAATAATGGTTCCATATCACATTTAGATGTAAGAGAAGATCGAGCTGCATAACCCAATTTGTATCCAATCAATTCAATGCGCAATGGTACATTGATGGCTCACTCATCCTGAAACTCAATGAGAGGGATCACTTCACTTTTTCTCTCAAGGTCACCCCACTCCTCCTTATAAAAGGCATATACTTCTTGCATGATCGATAACCAAATCACCTTTATTGTTCCGTCTTTGAAACAACATCATGTAATCCACAAGCTTGCAAAGTCCAAATGCGTAATAAATAAACAATGCTTTATTTCATCTAGCTTTCTAGTTACTTTGCCACACTATCGTCGTCTTCGTCCTCCGTTATCATTCGTACTCGTACTCGCCAACAGTCATCAATCTCCTCGTCACCAAGGTCAAAAACCATGCTTGTTTGTGCCGTTGTCGTTATCGTCATCGGCGTGGATCTCGTAGTCGTTATCGTTAACGAATGTATAATGTCACAAGAGGACAAACGCATCTTGATACATACGATAATGTAAATGACCCAATCTCGCTTTCCCACCTTTTCGTTTCTATTCCTCCTTTCAATCCAAGTGATCCACGTCTCGCACATAATAAGCTGATAGCACCACACCCTCACCCTTCAAATCATTCTTGAATCCATCTTCATTCAATGAAAAAGTCGACGAATAGCACATGACAGTGTGGATGTTTATCAGGTAAATATGATGAAGGAACAGCATTGGAAGTTGGACAAGATACGGGCGAATCAAATAATGGGCAACAGGGATAATGGTGCCATTGTATTCTTGGTTGCTGCCGCCATAAACATCCCCCATCCGTGTTTGGAAATAGTCGCAAGTGATGTGATTTGAGTATTCCAATATCCCCCGTGGCTGTAGTAAAACACCAGTCGTCAAAGATAAAAGCGTTCTTGTCACCCATTCAATCCATTACCATCCTCAGCGGTATCCACGTGATATGATCCATCGTTCCTGTTGACGACATGCCAAATAACCAAAGCAACATTCCAGGATTTCTCATCACTGTACTTGATCGCATCCATTCATCCATCCATAACAATTGCAAATTCAATACGTTGGTTGAAAGAGCCATGTGATCGCTTCCTTTCCCATCCGGCTGTTGGTCTATCTCTTCCTTGGTCATTTTCCAATGGGGCTCATTAAGGGAAAGGTCGTTGTATTGCGGTGTACTTGATAGCTGGTATGGCATCATGCGTTGGAATACGTATAGATACTAAAGCATGTTGCTGCAAGTAACTTGAGATAATGGAGTAAAGACCTTGCTAATAGCAGCTGCTGGTACGTTTGGTTGCGGCAGAGAAGTGTGCAAGAGCGTGTGTTGTAGTATAGAGTGACAAGGCTGCGAACGCTGTTTGATACAATGGAGTGAAGACCTTGTTAATGACGACTGATGTAACGTTTGGCCATGGTTGAGGAGTGTACAAGAGAAGGTGAAGTGTTGAGAGACGTGGGTGTTGTAGTGAGGGTGCACATGCCATGGACTTGCCATTCAGTCAACGGCAATCGGATCAAGGCAGTTGTAGGATTGACATGATGGGTTGAAGCAGGACAATCGTTGATAGGTGGTAGTTGTATGTACTTGAATGGGCCAACAGTTGAGAATGGGAGGAAGAGACAAGAAGTTGTGGGAGTGGAAGGAGTGGAAATCAAATAGGTCGGACACCTCTTGTATAAATGCATGAACACTGTACATCAATCCTTGATATTGGGATTGCCCCTCTCTCGCACCTCAAACTTTCACACAAGGTGTTCTTGGACATGCATAGAAGAGGCGATATGGGGCATAAGTAGGTGGATACTACAAGGTGTAAATGTGGCTGCGTAAACGTGATAGATTATTACCGGGTCAAGCCATTCATCGAGAAACCACATTTACGGGCGAAGGGAGCAACCAAGGTCGTTAGTCTTAGATGTAAGTATACACATTAGGCAATCGGCATACAAGCTTCCCACCAGGCCAGCAGTGAGTGGAAATAGCATGACATCATATAAAGATCGAGAAGTATTCGATAAGAGAAAGCACCTTTACAATTCTGGGGATGAGTTTACATGCATGATCCATGCTCGCAATGACGATCACTCTACTACCATCCGCATAATAATAATGCGTTTCTTTATGACGGCAGCTACGTTTTCAGATGAAAGGTAACATCATCATGCTTACAAGTTGCAAAGGTAAACCTACTATCTAACTGTGTTTACGATACAGCCATGCGTATTAGCTGCCATCAGGAGATAAATCTTGGGACGTGCGGGAAAAAGGAGAGTACAGCGGGAACATGAATTGATCGGGGGATCTACCACACCACACACATCCACCACTAGGGATCCAAAACAACATGGCTGATCTCTCAATGCAGGATGTGTATCATAGCAACCCAATAAATGGCCAAGCTGATGAAAGCCATAGTCGTAGTCAATCATGTATATAGCCACAGAGTTAATAACCATGATGTACTTTTTGTAACCATGACAACGTGCACGGATTTAGTGCTTTGGTGATGGTGGCACAATATCCTGCGGGGAAGAAAACCATAACCCAAACTCAACATTGTTCACCCGATCCCCCAGATCAATGGTATAGGATGAGAACAACAGCTGTGGAGAACATAATTAAGGCGTGGAGGTGCACAACAATGGAATGTAGGTGTGGGGAAAAATGTGGAGAGGGATACAAACTTATACGGGACACGTGTGAGGGAGATCCTTTGTTTACGTTATGTGTAGCATGGTAACTTTGTGTTATTGGAAATGATGGGCTTATGGATACCATAACCCATGTTTCAGTTTCCTGATTTCCTTTTATTTCGCTATAACGGGCTCAAAAAGGCAATCAAGTCAAGTATTGTATGCTTTCCTATCGGATCCGAGAACGGGGTCAAATAACCGTAAAAGGTGAATAAATGGGATCTTGTCTACAGAGAAGCAGATTCCCACCGTGCTAGGCTGGTTTGAGGAGGGGTGCAAATGACGTTTGATACCAGTGACACAGGGCACCTCAGTTGCTGACCAAATGGGGAATCTGATTTCGCAAATGGAAATCAACAATGTCCCGCCACACCCCGCATCATTGACGGTCGTCCGCTCCAATACCATTGCATCCCATCATCGATCCAAGACAAAAAGATGGAGAAAGAGAGAGAACGAACAAAAGCTTCTTCCCCGCAAAAAAAGTCCATCATTATATAAACCACCCACTTTTGTGTCATTTCCTTGTTACTTTTTTCCACATTCCCCGCACACACACCCCACACATTATGGCATTACTCAAAGGGAATCCATTATTATATTCTATCGCTTGCTTTGCATCATTGGGTCAATTTCTTTTTGGCTGTAAGTTTTCCCGCACATGATCCACCACGAAAGATGATATACTTATGCGAGATAAAAAAAGATGATCAGGGTGTCCTTTCAGGCGTGCTTGTCAACAAAGATTGGCTCGAGACTTTCAACTATCCCAATTCAACATTGCAAGGCTTTGTGGTTTCTATTTTCTTACTCGGTGCTTGGATAACATCGTATCCAGCAAGTTGGTTCATGGACAAATTGGGTCGTCGGTGGACCATTGAGATCGGCTCTTGTGTGTTCATTGTTGGTGGTATTTTACAAACGGCTGCACAAAACATTGCCATGCTTCTTGTGGGTCGTGTTATTGCCGGCTTTGGTATTGGTTTCCTTAGCACGGTACTTCCCGTCTACACTGCAGAGCTTAGCCGTGCACACAATGTAAGTGATTTTCATGCATACTTTTTCGGAAAACATGTGACTCATCTGATTTGACAGCGAGGTACGGTGACCGTAGCAGGCATGTCTATCAACCAATTTGGCTACATGTGCTCAGGTAAATGATCCATTGTTGATCGGGGTTATACATAAAACTAATATAAAAGCTTATAGCCTTTGTTGATTATGGATTTGCCTTTGTCAATTCAAGCTGGTCATGGCGTGGCCCTCTATTGCTACAATGTGTCTTTGCTGCTATCCTTGGTGCAGGCTGTATGTTCCTTCCTGAATCTCCTCGTTTCCTTGTTGACAAGGATCGCAGCGAACAAGCTTCACGTGTGCTGGCACAAATGCATGGCAAAGAAGAAAAGGATGCTGGTGTATTGGAAGAATTACATGACATCCAACGTGCTGTTGAATACGAACGTACTCTTGGCCAAACAAGCTGGAAGGAGATGATGACTACCTACAAGCGTCGCTCATTAATTGCTGTATTGGTGCAAGCATTGGGTCAATTAGGTGGCATCAATATCGTCACTTATTATGCCCCACAGATGTATGAAGCTGTATTGGGTGAAGGAAAACTTACCATCTTAATGGCTGGTTTCACTGCCCTGGTATACTTTTTCGGTGCACTTGTAGCAATCTTCCTTGTTGATCGCGTTGGTCGTAAACCTCTCTTCATGACTGGCAGTGCTTTGATGAGTATTTGGCTTATTCTTATGGGCGTATTCAACAAGTACGATCTCGGCCTCACATCAGCTATCCTTGTTATTGTATTCACCATGATTTATTGTGGTACATTCGGCGCCACATGGGCTTGTGTGGATTGGCTATGTAAGTAAACTTTTTTCATCAATGCAACAACATGTTCATTCACACTTGTATGACACCAAATACAGATCCCGCTGAAATCTTTCCCTTGCGTGCAAGAGCTAAAGGTATGTCGTTGGCCGTCTCATCCAATTGGCTCTGCAACTTTGCTGTTGGCCAATGGACTCCAGAACTCCTTGATCGTATTGGTTGGGCGACATACATCTTTTATATGGCATTCAACGTCGTTGCCTTTGGCATTGGTATGTAACATGATGATGACGTTTTTCTGGTATCGACCATTTTTACTTACATACAATACTCGATGTAGTGTGGTTCTTGTTTGTTGAAACTAAGGGTCGCAGCCTGGAGCAGATTGATGCCGTATTTGGTGATGTTAGCCACGCTGAAGTGATGCAAGCCGCTGATGAAAAAGTGGCCAACATCAGCTTTGAAGAAAAGCCCAACGTTAAGAAGGATGAGAGCGATTCTGTATAATCTACCAGTGTAAAATCTTTAAGCATACCCCTCCCTCATTTCTATGTATTATAGTTGAATAAAACATGTTACATAATTTCACTCGACAACCTTCTAATTGGCTCTTTTCAATGCTAAAGGTCATGCTTTTAATACACGTATTGTATCCTAACTTTGAGACAATCTACGAGCTATTCTACCACGCAACATGCACTCATCACCATCCTTCACTTCCTATCCACACACACAGCCAACATGTTCTTAAGGCGTTATCCATCATTATATTGTGTATATGTACAGTATCCTGCTTAATTATCTTTTTTGGTGGCGGATTGTTGAGCAGCTGCAGTCCTTGCAAGATTGACGGCTTGTACTTTGGCTTGATGGGTCGTTGGGATGACAGGTTTCCTTAGCGACCGAATTTCTTCAGAGGCAAAGCCGGGTATACGTACATTCCAATTGCGTTCTATATATACATATCCCATCCATAATTAGCATCATCCCATCCATTTTCAACCGATGCTATTCACATACCCAAATGTAATTGTAAATCCTTGACTTCAAGTGTATCCGATTTTCGATGCTTGGCTAATCGACATGCGAATTTGGTGACGGATTCAATAAACTCATCTGCAATATCCAACAAGATCTAAAAAAAGGGGGGGGGGATCAATGGTCATGTAAGATAAACAATAAACATCCAAATCCCAAACTTACATTTTCCACTTCAGGTTCAAGTCGTTCAGCAGGATCAATTTGGCCAGCCAGTTCCTGAATTTGACGTTTACCAAGGACCTTGGATGTGTTGTTTTCATCACTCGGTGGTGGTTTTGCTGCTGCAGCTGCCGCCATGCTGTTGGCAGATGATAAAGGTGGACCTGACATGGTGGGGAATGTGAACATGCCTTTGGTAGGTGTTACAACAGGCGTGCCTTGCTTGGATGATGCGGATGTAGAACCATTCGTATTATTTACTGCCACTGCTGCTGGTACAGCTGCACCGCTTATTCTTTGTTGTTGTGATACAGCCGTCGTAGGTGTTGTCGGTGATGCTACGCTTGTATTGGTCATGATGGGTGTAGGTTGTTGATGTTGAGGTTGAGGTGTGGATGATGCTGGTTGTTGTGCATGTACTTGTTGCTGCTGTTGTGCTTTAGATCAATGATCAGTATGCCATCCACGTACTCGTATATACACATCATCCATGATAGATACCTAAGAAAGCAGCATTATCAGGCATCGACACGTTATGAGGAGGTTGCTGCTGCTGTTGCTGCTGCTGCTGCTGTTGTTGCTGTTGCTGTTGCTGCTGCTGCTGCCCCATAGCAGAAAGCTGATGGGAGAGTGATGCTTGCTGTGCTTGAGTCAATCGTGGCGTGATATTGTTAAAGAGGTTCTGATAGATCTGCAATCGGTTCTGCATTTGGAGTTCTTGTGCTTGTAGCTGTTGTCTGTTTTCTGGTGTGAGATCAGGGCGTTCTAACGCTTGACGGATATTGGCAATGCTGGTTGACATTAGCTGATACTGTTGAATCATCTGTTGCAATTGCACTTGGGGCGTGAGCCCATTGTTGGGAGCAGCCATGTATAACAATGTAATAAAAAGAAGCAAGGAAGGAGAGAGTGAGAGATAGAAAGAAGAAAGAGGTGTGTCTTTGTTAGATTTGTGTCACCCACGAAGAGTTTACTAAAATGTTACTTTTGCATAGACGACGACTTTTTTGTATACATAAGAAAGAGAGAGAGATAATAGAGGCTTATTCACACAAAATATATGGATGATCAAAAATACACAAGCACAGCATGTGAGAGTGAGTGAGTAGAGTGTGAGTGAGTGAATGTGAGAGAGAGAAAGAGATATAAAAAGAGGTGTTGTTGGCGTATAGAAAGGGTATAAGTAGATATAAAGAAGATGATATGGTGTGTGTGTGCGTGCGTATATATATATAAAGTGTGTGCGTTCGTGATTTGGGCATGTGAGTGCTGCTACTGTGCATAGTTAGCCTTGTCTAGTTTCTCCATCCAGTTGTCTGGAATGACAGGTGTCACGCATCGTCGTTGTTGTGCTGTACCATCAGGCACCCAACCTTTGATGCTGACCATGTGGGCTGTGGTGGGAACCGAAAAAGGAAGCATAAACTTGGTGTCTCGCATTTCGTGCATATCTTGGTCATCTTCTTCTGCTTCTTGATCATCTTCATGGGGTTCATCTGTTGATGGTTCTTTGGTAGTGGTGGGTGGTTCCTCAGTAGTGGGTGTTGGCGGCAATGATACACGTCCAATAATGGATCCCACAAAGCTTGATACGCTTTCAGGTCGTGATCTCGAACGTTGCATAGATGAAGCAAATGATCCCACTCGCGACATGCTTGTTTTGCTACGACGTAACATGGTATTACGGCGTTGTTGCTTATACTTTACAGCATCATCAGCAATTTGAAGCACATAGTCCTTGATGGCATCGGGAACACGTGGCTCGTTGACTTCGTAGCGATAGTTGACAATGCAACGCTTCACTTGAAGTGCGTTGAGGGCATCGAATTTTTGAACGGTCTGGACAAAACTTTCAAAATCGGATAGATGCGAAAGACACTGAAGAAGCTGCAGGAGTTGCGTCGTGGGGTTTAGGTAGCTTAGTAGACTGGCCGGCAGGTGATTGTGGCGGATCCAGTCCTCCACATACGAAAGATTCATGCGAACTTGCAACGCCTTTGATCGTGAAAGCATCTTTTTGTTGATCAAGATGCGATTGAACAATTCGCAAGACATGAAATGCACCAATTGTGCTAATACTTGAATCATGATGGTGGGATGAACTTCATATGTTTGTAAAGCCGTAAAAATGGATTCAAGTAAATCGGTGACGCATTCAGGTGAAATAGCTGAATCTTCATCACTGCATAAAAGAGGTTGATTGGGAATGTTGGCACCTGGTGAGCTGGCACTTCGTCGCATTGGCATATTGCTGTTGTTGTTATTGTTGTTGTTGTTGCGGCGGAAGAAACGTTGCCAGTCATCTGAAAAATCCACATGTTCCATTCCCGAGATTTGTTCATAGTGCAACATGGCGGGAATAAGCATCTTGAGTAATGATCGTTCAGTGTTGATAATAAGCATCGTGTAAGTTTCAGAAATCATTTCTGAAAGTCGAAGCTGGTATTCAGCCGTAGCCACCACGAGTCCAGTGTCCTTTTTCAGGTAATACAAAAGCTGAACCTGGTTCGACATCCAAAAGGCAAGAGCATCCGTGTTGCGGGCATTTTCCTAAGCAAACAACCACCACCAAGCAAAAAAAGAAGAAAAAGCAAGGGGGTAAAAAAGGAAAGGGGGTGGTGGAGGGCGATAAACGCAGGCGAGGATGAGCATGCATTGCATCAAACTATATCGGCTTGTTCTTTTTTTACATACCTTGGCTATTTTACTCATTCTTGAGAGAGCGCCTTCCAATACTTCATCTAGCAATTCCGAGCTAGAGAAATAATGAGCAAAACGAGCACTGAGGAAAACGACATTGGCGGGTACACATATTTCTTGTTGTGTTTCCATGGGCAATCGAATGTTGGTGATCATGGTGTCGAGAATGTGCGTCAAGTCATCTCCGCCAAACACAAACATTTGGTCAGGCATACATTTATCCCAGTAGAATTCGGTTGTCAAATCATCATCCTGCTCATCATCATCTTGATCATCGTCATTAGCAGCATGGTTGAAGGCGGCGTTATCATAATCATCGTTCTCGTCGTCATCGTCATGCGTATTGTCGATCAATGTAGAGTCGCCTCCAACGAGAGCCATGGCTGTTTCCAAGAGCTTTTGGCGTCTTTCAGCTTCTTCAGCCATGAATGAATCATAACCTTCAACGGTGGATTGGTAATAGAAATCACAATCACCAGCACTGGATGAAGTACAAGACATGCTGGATGATAAACTATCACGTGGATTGGTGGCGAGAATTTCGGCAATCTTTTCATTGCTGTTGCTGCTTTGGACGAAATCAAATACGGTGCGGCCTTTGGCTGATCTTGTTTGAGCAGAGGCGCCATGATCCATCAACACCTTGACAAGGCTCTCATGCTTGTTTGTGGTAGCCCACATGAGAGCAGACCAACCAGCTATAAAGAATTCTATATCAATGACATGTTTTGTGCATATTTGTTTCACACAACAAAGACTCACATGAATCTTGAATGTCAGTTTTGGCACCTGCTTCCAATAATGCCTGGGCAATCTCAACTTTGCCAAAACATGCAGCGTAAATCAAGGGCGTAGCACCATCCTCGTCTTTTGCATTCACATCAATGTATTCCTTGGTCTTGTCGTTGCTGAGCAACTGCGTCACACGATCCACATCACCACTCGAAACAGCACGTGAAAACATCTTGTTCATCTTTGACCGTTTCTTGTCGTCATCCCAGTCATTGCGATCCATCAGGTCGTCAGCATCGTCGTCATTGTCACTTGGGACATCATAGGTCGGGGAGTAAGAAGAATCGGCACCGCCTTCGGACGAAGCAGCTGAAGGAAGGCTGATACGATTGCCGAGGACTTCGGAAAGCTGTCGATAGCTTTCTGCCATATGTTGCGTCATTTCATCAAATGACATACTTTCATATCGCTTTCGAACCGAATCATTATTATGGTTGTTGTCTGTTGTTGACGACAAATGTTGCTGGGCATCGTTATCTGAAATAACCGAAGTCATTGTTCTTCAGACAATAAAAAAAAGAGGTTGTATATGAGAGAGAGTGTGTGTGTATGTATTGGTGGAGGTTAAAGGCAAACCGCAAAGAAAAAAAGAAAAAGGAAAAAGTGAGAGGACAAGCTTTATAGGGCGGTCGTCTAAAAGCCTCTTCGTGTTACGTGCAGCAAAAAGAACGTGGTGAGTGCTAAAAACGACAGACACATGAATGCAGGTTGGGATGTTTTGATGCAGCCATGATAAATCTACTCTCCGAGGTTGGGTCGTTGTCTTGGCCCCTACTTTGGATCGCCCGCTCATTGCCCTTGTCCTTTGTTGGTCATTCATTCACTTGTGCAACGATCCCCTCTTCCTCCTTCCCCATATAACTTATCAACAATCATGATCTACAATACACTGTGCGTTCTTTATTTCTTTTTTCATGTCGACAAGACGACAACCTGTCATGCTTGGATATATAAACAAATAGGATACATACATCAATCATCCCAATCCCCCTTATTTAAGGAGTAGAAACCTGGATAAACCGATCATCATCATATGGATGACGATGATGATGATGATGATGAAGATGAAGGAGGAGGAGTATTGTATAGAAGGAGAAATGACTAGTAGTAAAAGCAAAGCGGTGGGTGATGAGTAGTGTATAGGCGCGCAGTTATATTAGCTTTCCCTCGCATCTGGAACGAACATGATCCCCAGGGGCTCAACTTCAAATGGCATATGCCCTCGTTGTTGAATGTGAGGTTAAAATGATGAACCGAGAAGCACACCCGTTCACACAAAATGATACGCACAGATGCAATCCTTAAGGTTACCATAACCACCAATGCCACGTGGGATCAGGATAATGCTTTGTCATTTGCTCCGTCACCACCATGGCATACCACCCAGCCATCAGCATGGCATTTATTATCGACATTGTATCAATTTACTCAAAGAAAGTATATAAAGAAAGTATGTTCTTAGAAGAAGGAGAACGACGACGTTATACGCTGCTTATTGTAAAAGAGATCAAGGAGCGAAGTACAATTGAAGTTGGTCCCTTACATACTTTATTTTGTTGGCTAACGACGGCGTTGTGCCTTGAACAATCAATTGCCGTGTGCATGTTTTCGATCATTTGGCATCATGGATCCAATCTTTATGCCGCTACTGTAGTCCTATTCTTTCTTCAAGCAGCACCTTTCTTTTCCAAATCCAACCAACGCTGCAATGCAAATGCACTTTTGACTCTTCAATGTTGACTGGCAAAGCTGTCTCATGAACGCTCGGCTCAACATCCCGAGGCCTTCATCGTCGACGTCCTTCTCCATTGGCTGTGCCATGCACGCTGTCATTGCAACCAAAAAGTGGCGATTGTGTTGTCATACGCCAGTGAACAAGTTCTTGTGGATACTCATCGTCAGGTGGATCTTGCCATAAACAGCTACCAAAACATTCCCAACATGGCAACATCAAACATGAGCACAGCATTGACAATGGTCCTTCACTGTATTCATCATCATTCATCTATTGCACTTCCTCCTCTCTTTTACTTTCTTCATCCCACTCTCAACGACCATGATTCAACATTTGCCTCCACCTCCTTATCGTCGCAAGAAGCCGTTGCCTGAAATCCCTCAACAAGAAATGATGCCTTCGTATCCCATGGCAACAACATCACCACCACCTCCTCCCATGCTACCACCCGATTCTTATTACTGTAACAGCAGTATGCAATCGACATTGGGTCTACCTTCAGGTATGCTTATAACGCATCAGTACATCTTGACAGCTTAATAACAAAAAAAGGTACATCTACAGGTCTTTATCGTCAACCAAGTCGACGACACAGTTTCACGGATGCCAAGTATTATGTCAATGAGGATCCCATGGGGAAAAGGCTTTCAATGATTCTTCCATCATCCGAGAGCACCAAGGTTGAAGAGCAAGAGCAGGATGAACAACAACAACAACAACCAATGATGGGTGGATCAAGTTACACAGAGGAACCCAAATCAATGCATGGACCAGAAGAACGGCAACCATCACCACCACCAAAGAAAAAGAAGCAACCTACCCCACCAACACTTGAGAAGCCATTTGATCCGTCACTATCAAGACCTCATCATTCGCCCAATACACCTGATTGCCTTCCATCACCAGTGACTCCCATTCAAACCAAGATACCTTCTCCTTGGGGATCTATGGTATCTTTGGTTCCTGATACACCAACCACACGTCAAACGACTGATAGCAGTGTGAATTCACCCACATCCTCTTCTTCGGATCAACAACAACAACATGTTACTACTACCACCACTTCCACCACGGCTATTGTTGCAAAACCTATCGAGTCGTCGACAATGGTAGTAGCTCATGATACCACGACCATGGAAAAGGATGCCATCATCAACACTCAACAGCAGCAGCAGCAGCAGCAACAACCTCCTCCATCATCGAATCAATCCCCCGAGGATATTCTGGATCCATACAAAAAGCCACGTTTCACATGTATTGCGTCGTACAGCTTGACACACAACAAGGATGCTTTACGTACCTACCGCCGTATGGCCACCAAGACACGTAGCCCCCAGGTTCAAATGGCTTATGCAAAATACCTACTTGACGTGGCTCGTTTGTATGTGGATGGTGGTACCACCGCTACACCTTTGCGTCAACGGATGCTCGATGAAGCACGTTACTGGGTCAGCAAACTTGCAAAGCGCCTTGTGCCTGAAGCATTGTATATCAAGGGACAATGGCATCTCGAGAGACATCAAATCGTCAAAGCTATGAGATATTTTGAAAAGGCGGCAAAGAATGGATGGATGCCAGCCTATATCGATTTGGCAGAACATGCAGATCGTCAAGGGGATTGGCACAAGGCGATTGCTTATTATCGATCAGCGGATGGCTATGCCGATGCAACTTATGTAAGTACTATTTACTACGCGTGGCAACAATGGAATTAACATACCACTATTACTACTAGAAAATGGCCATGTTGCTGCTAAAACACAATATGGATGAAGGCATTCGTTTGCTAGAAAAGGCGGCCAATCAACAACATTCCGAAAAGAGTGGCAAGGCAGCTTTTGTTCTTTGCAATCTTTATTCACATCAAGTCAAGACAAGGTATCTATCTATTTATCTATTCTTATATATGTGTATGATTGACATGTGAGTTTCATAGTGCAGAGCGCAATGACGCGATGGCATTCCGATATCTCAAACAAGCAGTACAAGCTGGCCTGGTCGATGCTGTGCATCGTATGGGACAAGTGCATACACACGGGCTACTCGGACAACCCAAAGATCCATGGCAAGGATACCAATGCTTTGTTAAAGCAGCTGATGATAATCATCCAAAGGCAATGCTGGATTTGGCCAATGTTTATGTGCAAGGGATCCCAAGTTATCTCAATCCGCAACCTGAAAACGCTTTCCGTTGGTGTCAACGAGCTGCTGATCGAGGTCTTAAAGAAGCCGAGTATCTACTAGGGTAGGTAAAAAACGGAAGATGGGGGTTGAAGGTCAATGCTAACAAGTAGTATACAGCACTTTTTACGAAGATGGGATTGGCGTGATGGTGGATTATCCTCGTGCACTCGAGTACTTTGGAAAAGCGGCTTCCAAGGGATACACACTTGCAGCTGAAAAGCTTAATCAACCGGTGAATCAACACCATGTGTCGATGCGGTGTCACAAGCCTGATGCAAACAACTGTACCATCATGTAAAACAAGTTGTTTTTTTATCCATTTATACCAAAAGTAGTTCCATACCCGATGAGACAGCATTTTTTGATAAAACACATATACATATTAAAGGTGGCCAATGTTTTCTGATTCCCATTTCAGGTTGATGCAATGGTCGTGGTTACACGAAGGGTTGGTTCGAGTTGTCATTCTTTGTAACGTACCTTATGCTTATCATTAACGTGAATTCTCTATGAAAAATGAGAGCCAAACATAAATAGTCAAGCACAGGGAAATGATTTGACCTCAAGGCCAAAACGAGTTTGCAATACTGAAAGTATATGAAGGATAAGGAAGCTTTGATAGCCGAGAGCTTAATAAGTGCTTTATGACATTTCAAGTTGAAAGGATTCCTTCATGTGTTCATGCGGTATAATGGCTCTCATCAAGTCATATATACTTCACTAGAAATGATGCATCAAAGCATTTATAACAAGTAGAAATCTTTGGTTGGCAAAAGAACAACACAAATGGTGGGGGTACTAAGCATTGTATTTCTACAACGAATGAATAAAATGAGCCATCTACGGTCGACTATCGGGAAGTACCGGTACCTCAACAAGTGCCATATTCAGGGTCATGCAGGAGAACAACAATATGGGCCAAGGTTGTTTGCAGGCGTCTTCAGTGGTCATGGCTAGCTCCTGGTCAAGAACAATTGTACCCTATTGCATTCCTCATAGTAGGCTGTCTCCTATGCCAGTGTACCACCCAACCAACTCGGGTCACTCTCCGCAACAAGATCATGCATCCCTTTTCCCTTTCCCTTTACTCATGCTTGTATTATACCACTATTTTAATATGCCAACTACTACTTTATTTATCCTTGTTCTCGTCCATTCTCCATGTCGAGCACAGCATCAAGCAGTGCACCTTCTTCTGATGGCGTCATTCGCTCCCGAGTAACTGAGGCTTTGCAGATCTCAGGGTACCACTTTACCAATGCGACACACGTTCCAACCACCGATCATTACGATAACATCACTCTTGTTAATGGCTATCGGTAGGTCCTTAGAGACACGGTCATGAAGCATCGATTGACGTGTCATTGCATAGCGTATCGGATAAGCGAGCAGTGGTTGCCAAGGTATCCAACAACAGCCTGCAAATTGAGCGCGAGTATTACATCATAAGGCAACTCTATCAAACAGCTGATGGTCCTTCATATCTTGGTAAGCAATATTACCTTACTATGCGCGTATCTTACTAAGTGCCTTGGTTACGTGTTGTATAGTGCGTCCCTTGGAGTATGCTTACTTGTCGTCAAGCGGACTTGCCGTTGCCATTTATGCCGACACTCATAGCGACCGATCATCCAGCAATCGCACTATTGACGACATTGGCACCTTCCTACGATTAGCAATACGGTGCACAGACATTATGGAATTCATTCATCGCCACAACACTATTCATGGTCAACTTAATATGGGAGCTTTTTGTTGGAACAGCAATGACATGGATACTACGCGCTTATGGAACTTTGCAGCTGGCAGCAACGCGTCTTTTGAAAAGTATCTCACAAGCGAAGGGTGGAAAAAGTACCAACACAGCCAAGCCATTATGGAGAATCGACTCATGTATATCAGCCCTGAACAAACAGGCCGCACTACCTACATCGCTGATCATCGTTCCGATATCTATTCCTTGGGCGTCATATTCTTCGTATTGCTGACGGGCCAAATGCCTTTTGATGGAGGACCTTTGAAGATTGTCAACAGCATTTTGAGTCGTAAAATGCCGGCAGTGCATGATGTCCAATTGAATGTCCCTGAAGTGATATCGCGGATCATTGAAAAGATGACATGCAAGACCCCAGAGGAGCGATACATGAGTATGCACGGTGTCAAATGCGATCTGGAAGCGTGTCTTCAGCGACTAAAGTCAAGTAATGCTGGGGTAAGGAGTCCTTTACAATCAAAGGGGAATAGGAGGTGTATGTGTGTGTGTGACAAGTCAGTGCGACGAGGATCCAAGGTTATCTGTTTATGTGTGGGGGCAAGGAGACAGGTGTTTTAGGAGAGAAGGATGTGCTACCATGCGATACTGCAATGCTCACGCTATACCTAATTAGACCATCGACTTGTTTCCACTGGCACAACGTGACATCGCGTCTGTGTTTATGATACCACGTAATGTCTATGGTCGTCAAGCTATCATTTCGGAGATGGTGTATATCGTTGAGCGATTCGTGAACCAATACAAGCCTTTGAAGATCCGCAGCAGCAAGCAAGGTGCAGCATCCAGCAACAGTGACCCTGATTCTTCAGAACAAAAGTCAGCATCAAGCCCCACTTCGTTAGCTGAGCATGATAGCAGCGACATTTCCAGTGTCAGCAGTCGGCTCGTATCAGTCAATGGGAAGCAAGCAGCTACTGTAGTTGGAATTTATGGACCTGGAGGCATTGGTAAGTTTATTGATTGATTTTTTAATGTATTGCGAGTAATAAGTGATCCGTTTTTATATCATCATCATCAAGGAAAATCGACATTGTTCAACTCTGTACAGCCTTTGGCAAGAAAGAGTGGGTAAGGCATTTGCATGGCGATTGAGAAATGATTATATTACTAAACGAAACCATCTAGCTATATCACATCTACCAAGTTTGATTCAAGGAACAAGGTCCCATACAGTGGTTTGCTGCGTTTGATGTCGCAAGCGCTACAGCAAATCTTATCCGAGACCGAGGAAGAAGTTCATCGATTTTTCAATCATCTGAAAGCATGGCTTGGTGCTCAGTTCCCCAGCATTTCAATACTGGCGGATTTGGTATCAGAGCTCAAGTCATTGTTGGCTGCTGTTGGACATGAGGATGGATGTACAAATACCGAGGTATCGATGAAGGCGGATAATGCCGAGGCTCGTTTACGTTTCCACAATCTCTATGTTGAAGTCTTTCGTGCCATATCTCATTGGCGTATGGTGACTATTGTAAGTTGTCATAGAGGATAAGTTGGTGTAGTATTGAGCACTAATGTATACATTGTTTAGTTTATTGATGATGTCCACCAAGCCGGTAAGATGGGGAAGGAGTAACAAGATGTGCTATGTTTGACGATGCTAAACGAATGCTGTAGATGACCCTTCAATCGACTTATTGCAAGCGTTGCTTTTATCAAGAATCAACATCCTCGTATTTATGTCATATCGTGATCAGGAGCTGAATCAAAAGCAATCTGGCATATTGGAGAATGAATTTGCCAACATCCAATTTATCGAGGTCGGCACATTGAAGCTTGACGCATTGACCGATTTCGTTTGTGACACACTACATCGATCACGAGACACCGACCGCGACTATGTCACTCCACTTGCATTGGTAATTCACCGAAAGACCAACGGCAATGCATTCTTCACGGCACAATTGCTGCAGATGTTGGAGCGTAAAAAGATCATTTACTTCAACTGGGAATTCAATGTTTGGGAATACGACCTTGCAAGTATTGAACAAGGGACCTTTTTAAAGACAATGGAGGAGGATGTTTCATTCATGGTGAATCGGCTGAAAGAACTACCACGTCATGGTCAGCGATTGCTCAAGATGGCATCATTTATCGGTGACACTTTCTCATGGTCAACAGTGAAGGCGTTAATGGAGGACACGTTTTCTGAAGATGGGAGTGACGTTGATAGCGACGATGGCGATGAGAGGAGTTTATTGTCAGCCGAATCAACGACCAGCACAACCGTATTCAGCAGGAAGAGCAAGTCAAGTGAAGGCACCTTGTTATCTCCTGATACTAGAGCCCAACAAAAGAGCTATGATCCAATCAGCGGACTACATGCCGTGATCCAGGAAGGATACGTTATGCCACTTGGTGCAGATGAATTCAAATGGAGCCATGATCGTATCACACAAGCTGCTGGTGAACTTGTGAAGCCTAATGTGAGGTGCAAGATCCATTTCAAGATTGCCCAGCACATGATGAAAGGTATAAAGTCTTTAACTTTGTATTGGGAAATGATTTTCTTATATACATTGTATTGTAGAGGAAGACATGGATGTATTTCTGGTTGCCGACCATCTTTTGAAATGCCTTGACCTATTATCATCTTTGGAAGACAAATCATCCTTTCGTGAGCTCTTGATTGATGCAGGCGATAAAGGACGGCAATCTGGTGCACATGGCATGGCGCTCAGCTATTACAAGGCAGCAATCCAACTCAGTGATCCGGAAAAGGAATGGGATGATGACAATTATCCTGTTACTTTACAGCTCTATACGAATATGATGGGACTTAGTTTTCTGTTGGGCGACAATGAGGTGACTGAGAAGGCGACCGAGGTCATTTCCAAGCATGCCAAAACGCCATTGGATCGTAAAGCTATGTACTTCATCAAGTCACGCTATTACCTATCGCAGCAAAAGCCGTTTGAAGGGCGGGATGTGCTACTTACTTGCTTGGAGGATCTTGGCAATGAGAAACTTTCATTTGAGAATGCCGAGAAGACACTACAGGAAGAACTTGATCAGCTGGAGAAAGCGATTGAGGATATGGAACTTGATGAGATCGCTGATATCGGATTCTCGGATGATCCTTACGTCCAGGCAACTGCTGAGATCATGGGGGAATTGTAAGTCAACAATCATGAATGGAGCATGTAAAAGTATATGGCATCCAGCATAGTAACATGATGGCTTACTTTATAGATCACAATTGTTGTATTGGACTGGTCAAAAGCAAGCACTAAGTGCGTGCGCATGTCACGTATTGAATATGTGTCTACAACGGGGAATGGCTCCAGCTGCTAGCACTGCTTGTGGATTTTTGGCGGCGATCGGCTACATTGAGTTGTACAACAATCATGCAGCGGCACATGTGAGTCTAAATCTCATTTACGGGTTGAAATGCCTACTTATCATGTATGATTTAGAAAATGGCAAAACTAGGCACCATCATTGCTGATCGATATGGCGGGAATTTGGAGAAAGCTCAAGCCTACATCATGTATGTTATATTTGTGGATAACTTTGAACGTCATCAACGCTATGGATTGCCTATGCTCGGAGCTGCAACACAGCGTGCCTTTGCATCAGGAGATCGTCATTTTACGAATTACGGCAAACTTCACATAAGCATGAGTCGTTTTGCTGTGACTCATCATTTGAGTGATGCACTGCCTATCGCCGAGGAATCTTATGAAGAAGTGCACAAATGGTCCGCTGCTGCTGAAGTAAACGCAATGTTTATCACCGTTGTGAGAGCAATCAAAGCGTTACAAGGACGAACGTACTGGGATACGGATAACGTGTACGATGGTGACGATGGATTCAATGACGAGCATTTCCTCACTGAGAGCTTCAAGCAAAACCCGAATTCTGTTGTCGCTTGTAACTGGTATCAATCCTACAAGATGATCCCTTTGGCGTTATATGAGCGATACGAGGTAGCCGTTGAAATTGGAGATTACTGTTTCCGCACCATGGGGTATGTGCCGTGCGTGAGATACACACGGGTGACACTCTTTTACTATTCCATCGCTCTACTTGGGCATGCACGCAAGATCAAGGGCGAAGAGGTGGATAAATGTCTCAAGCAAGTAGCTCAAAATCAAGATCGCCTGTATGAATGGGTGGAGTTGAGCCGTGTCAATTACATCACTTTATGGACATTGGTGGAAGCAGAGTTGGCGGGTCTCCAAGGCGACAATGTTATGAAAGCCATATTATTGTATGAAGAAGCCATTAATCATGCTCGCGAGGGAGAGTGGTACTTGGAGCTTAGTATTGCACATGAATTGGCTGGAGGATTCTATTACCGCCAAGGGGTTCACAATGTTGCATACAACATGGTCAAGAAGGTAGAGTATGGTGGGGGAAAGATGATCGATTATGGAACCTTTTTTGATTTATGTATGGCTCATACTAGGCAGTGGATCTTTATACGGCATATGGCGCATTCGGCAAGTCGCGGCATCTTAATGCAAAATACGCTGACTTACTCAGCTCATTCAATGATGATCGAGCCGATACATGTGATAAGAGTGCACAAACGGATCCATTCCCATTATTGGCAGCTCCCCGCCACCAACCTCCGCAAGAATCATGGAGCAACTCTTCACATGACCCTGCCGATAACAGCCCAATAGCCGATGAACCTTATAGTTCGGAATCGATACCACCTATCACAACAGAGCAAACATTGGTGACATTGGATATTGTAAGTGCTAGTGATGCTATGAAAATGAGGCCATCTTTTAACCCATCATTGTCCATAGATCGATATGGCATCCATCCTCAAAAGTTCCCATGTGCTTTCATCCGAAGTCAAGTTTGACGCGTTGCTCAACAACATGATGCAGATTATTCTTGAGAACTCCGGTGCTGATCGAGGTGCTATCATTGTCAAGGAAAACAAGTTTGGAATCGGTGCTTATGGGAACCCTCAAGAAGAGGAGACGATTGTCACATATGAAGAACCAGAACGTATTTCGAAGAACAGCGTCATGGTATCGAGCCAAATCATCAATCACACAATCCACACCTCTGAGAGTATTTTTATTCCTGATGTTGAGCAAGATGCACGATTTGCAGTGGGACCATGGTTTGAACGTGCTGGCAAGAAATCAGTAATCTGCATGCCGATCATACACAAGATGACGACTGTTGGTTGCATCTTTCTTGAAGGTGCTATTGGGATCTTTACACAACGTCACATCACCGTGCTTGGATTACTATGTCAGCAAATGGGTATTTCATTGACCAATGCTTCATTGTTTAAATCCGTGCGACGTGTAACAATGGCCAACATGAAGTAAGTAGCAAGCGGCACTCATGGACAACGGAATTTATAAGTTACTCATGATCGATATAGGATGATCGAGATGCAAAAGCAAGCATTGGAGGAAGCACGACGCAGTAAGGAAGCAGCTGATAAGGCGACTCGATTGCGAGAGATCTTTTTGGCCAACATGAGCCATGAGATTCGAACACCGTTTTCGGGATTCTATGGCATGATCACATTGCTGTCAGAGACAAAGTAAGGTGCCGGATTGGAGTAACACAAATGCATGGCAGCTGATTACATGAAATTAACTAGGTTGGATCCTGCACAATACGACTTGGTGCGAACGGCTAAATCATCATGTGAAGGATTATTGCAGATCATTGACGACCTACTCAACTTTTCAAAGCTACAAGCCGGCAAAGTGTCTCTTGATTTGGCACCAGTACACGTGGAAGAGCTCATTGCCGATGTGATTGATATGCTGATCGCCATTGCTATTCAAAAACGCATCAATGTCACGTACACAGTTGCAGAGGATGTGCCAGCGGTTGTAATGGCTGATGCCAACCGGCTCAGACAGTAGGTTTTATTATTGGATGTTCAACGTGATCAAATGCTTATGACTATGCTTTGCCATGTAGGGTTATCATCAATCTACTCGGGAATGCTGTCAAGTTTACGCACCATGGCGAAATCAGTATTCGATGTTCCATTGACGGTCGCAAAAAGAAGGCTGTAAACAAGGAATCGCATATCTCGTTGCTATTTGAAGTGATCGATACAGGCATTGGGATCAGCGAGGAGCAGCGTAAGGTGTTGTTTATGCCATTCTCACAAGTGGATGGTAGCACCACGTAAGTTGATTATATAATAATGCCATGTATGAAGATACGTATAATGATTGATACGATATGCCATTAGCCGCAAGTATGGTGGTACCGGTCTTGGGCTTTCCATTTCCCTTCAATTGGTCACTTTGATGAATGGGGATATCGATGTTGTGAGCGAGGAAGGAAAAGGATCCAATTTCCGCTTTTCAATCGAAGTTTCACCGGTGCATGATCAATCTCGAAGATTCACTGAAGCAATGCAAGCAATATCCAAGAGTTTTATCAAAACACGAATCCTTGTTGCCGATACACATCATGCGACAGTGGATATGATGACCAACTTCCTTCCGAATTTACCACTTGATGGAGTATCTGATTATGCAGAGTTGCAGCAGGAGACACCTTATGGAGTCGTCATTGTGGGATTGCTTTTGGATCACAAAGAAGGAACGCTAAGCTGCTGGGAAAAGGAACTTCAAAAGGTCATGAAGCGTGCCAAGGTTACGGTTATCATGCATTATCCCTTGGGAAGCAGCAATGTTCAAGGCAACATCGGAGGTGTTGGACCTATTCTCGAAGCAGCATCATCGTCAATGGAGCAAGAACAGCAACGTCAGCAACAACAACAGCCATTCCACATATCATCATATGGCTATCTTGACGAGCAACAAAACATTGTGCGTATGGGAGTTCCATTGCGACGCAACAAGCTTTTGAAGATGCTGGCAGGATTTCTCAAGGAGGATGAGCCAGGAACACCAGCACCCAAGACGCGGCCAAACATCTTTGCACGTATCAGCAGCAGTGAGATCAAGCTTGCGATTGAGACAATACCAGAGGAACATCGTAAAGCATTCAAAAAGACAAACATCTTGGTTGCAGAAGGTAGGTTGACACTATGTCCTTGAAGGTTTGCATGCTAAAGAACCTTTCAGATAACCCTGTTGCACAAAAGCTACTATGCAAGCAATTGAAGCGATATGGCTTTAATATCACGTGTGCCAACAATGGAGCTGAAGCGATTGCTGCATGGACCAAACGACCGGTTGGATACTTTAAGATGGCTCTGTTTGATCATCACATGCCCAAATGCGATGGCGTGGAAGCGACCAAGACCATTAGGAGAAGTGAAAAGGAGCAAAACAGCAAGACGCGATTACCGATTGTGGCACTCACAGCAGACATACAAGATAGTGCAAGAGCAATTTGCGTGAATGCTGGCATGGATGGGTAAGGTTTGATACATGTTATCTTAATGCTAATACTAATGATCACGTTGTTTATTACTTTTAGGTACCTGACCAAGCCTTTAAACGAGTTTGCTCTGCTTGAATTTGTTAAACAATATTGTATCGACCAATAAAGCATTTATGTTTGTACTTTATCAACCTCAGTGGTAGAACATTTGGTCGATTTAACAGTAATTGACATCTTTATAAATAATAAGTGACAAAACGTTATAAGAGGATGGCGGCTTCGCCAAGGAAAGATCATATACCAATCATGCTCCCAACGACAATAAGAAGATCACTCGTACTAATACCTCAAGATTGCACAATCAAACATGGCATGATCAGTATTCCAGAAAAGGCCAGCGCATCAAAAAGCATCTTTTAATGCCAAAAGTCTCTCATGCTTGACGTCGATGGTCATTCTCTGCAGCTGTCAACTACAATACAGTCATCCTGGGGCGACCTTCTTGCGAGACAAGAAAACCAATTTTACCTCTCACGCTTCATACAATTCCTAAAAAGATACTTTTGGATGCAGTGATCATTCTTGGCTTATAACCATACCATGGCCCACTTGAAAAAGTGTCATACGGGCTATCATAGGCGGACCTTACTATAGGCATATAGGGGTAAATATCAATCATGCACACTCCACCAATAGGATCGACCCTTCAACTCGCCGACTAGTTACACAAACGTCCTTCTGACAATGAACAAAGGCCACCCTTCATATAGCATTCCGCTTATAGCATATGTAAAACATAAAAGTGTCTGTATCTCTAAATTTTACAATGAATCGTGGGGTCTTTATGAGAACAAAGCTGCTCGGCGGGGTCCAAGAAATCTTGTGTGCAAGTTTCACGATCAAGGTAGCAAATCCCAGATTTCACAAATGTCGCCACCAGCCAAATTGGATCAGGTCGACCTCTTGAATTTTTTTTCGACGACGAGGAAAAATACTTTTTGACTGGTAGCGACATTGAACGTGAAGCTGGCACACAAGATGCTGTTGGCCAAGCCGAGCACATTGCTCTATTCAAAACCCCACGTTTCATTGTGAAATCTTGAGATACAGGCACCTTTATGCTTGTAACCGTGATGCTATATGAGAAGTGGTCTTTGTTTAATGTAAAGTAGAGAGACCCTGACAGAGCAAAAGATGCAAAAGGACCTCTTTGGGTAACTCAGCTAAAAAGTCAGGACTTCAGGGACAATGCATGAAAGGTACGCAACCCTCACTTTTATGTCATACATTGGCATCTAATAGCCACTTTTGTGCATTCCCAACTTTTGTGCATTCTATTGTAGGTGGACGATGCTCCTGCTCTAGACATTCATTTCCATGATTAAAGTAGGTTGATCCGAGCTGATTTGGTTGAGTTACGCTTACACAAGATTACATCGGTTGAGCTACATCGAGCGTGCTCTATGTCCAGAGTGATGTAATCTCTTTTTGACCGCAGCTCAGTCAAATCAGCTCGGATCAACCTACTTTAATCATGGAAATGAATGTCTAGAGCAGGGGTACCGTTCCCATGCAGTGGATCTCGCAACAATGATGATTGGATAAAAGTGGCCGTTAGCTAGCAATACATGCCTGTTCCTAGATGATCCATAAAGTAATTATACATTGACCCTTTCATTCATGCAAACGTATCTGTGTTACACAACACGACCCTCTGCATCTTTTGCTCTGTCAGAGTCTAGCTACTTTACATTAAACAAAGGCCACTTGTCATATAGCATCACGGTTACAAACATAAAGGTGCCTGTATCTCCAAACTTTACAATGAAACGTGGGGTTATAAATAGAGCAATGGGCTCGGCTTGGCCAACAGCACCTTGCGTGAAAGTTTCGCGTTCAATGTCGCAAACAGCCCAAAAAATATTTTTTGGTCGTCGTCGTCGAAGAGGTTGAGCCCCGGATCCAGTTTGGCTGGTGGCGACATTGCGAAATCTGGGATTGCCCACGATGAACTTCATACTTTGACACAAGATTCCTTTGACCCCGACGAGCACGTTGATCTATTAAAGAGCCCACGTTTGATTGTAAAGTTTGGAGATACAGGCACCTTTATGTTTGTAAGCGTGATGCTATATGAAGAGTGGTCTTTGTTCAATGTAAAGTAGTATGACTATAATAGAGCAAACGATGCAGAGGGCGTGTTTGTGTAACTTGAGTCATTCAGCCCAGGCGATGCATGATTCTTGTACACTATTTAGGAATAGTTCAAACTGCCGGCTAATAGCCCATTCCTCCCATTCACCTTTGTTGCCCCATCCACTGCATACGAACGATTCTCCTACTCCAACCCATCATTCCCATCTTTCAAGTTTCTCGATCCGGGGGGATTTGACTGAGCTACGGTCAAGCACAGAAGTATCATCCAATATGAGAAAGATCAAATTGAATAGTTATTTGTAAACTGCTGGTTGATAGCCCATTCCTCCCATTCACCTTTGTTGCCCAATCCAATGCATGTAAATGATTCTCCTGCTCCAGCCCAAAGTTTGCATCCTTCAACTTTCTTGTTCCAAGAGGATTTGACTGAATAACGCTCAAACAAAGAAGTATCATGTAACTATTATTAATTTCCAGCTCTTCCACTCCCACCTTCTTCCCTCTTTCTCTCATTCTCAACTGTTGGCCCATTCAGTACAACCACCACCTGCGAACGATTGTCCTGCTTCAACCCATCATGCCAATCCTACAACTCTCTTGATCCGATTGTCGTTGACTGATTGGCAAGTTCATGGCGTGTACATAGCCTTCTTGTCACTCTTCTACAACACACGAGTCTCTTGACACAAGAGTCTCTTGTCACAACACGCACTCTTGCACTCTTCTCTACCACAATCAAACGTAACAGCATTCATCCAGCAGTTGTTATTCGCTCCATTGTCTCAAACAGCATTCACAGCCTTGTCATTCTACTACAACACACGCGTTTGCACACTCCTCTTCCACAACCAAACGTAACAGCCGTTGCCTTTAGCAAGGTCCTTGACCCCAACGTCTCAAGTTACTTGCAGCAACCTGCCTTGCAGCCTTTTTTTTTACTTGAACAGCACATAGCCACTGTATAGAAGCATTCTCATTTACGTGCAGCAGCTTGCTTTGATACATGCGGATACCAATGGATGATGCCACATCAGCTATCAAATACGCCGCAATACAAGCCGTCATCATTTGGTTGAGCAACGGTGGAAACTGACCAAGAAAGGGATTGACCCATCAGCGGATAGAAAAGGAAGCATACCAGCAGCAATATTGGACTTGCAATGACTATGATGGATGCAATCAAGTGCGGTGATGAGAAATTCTGGAATTATGCTTTGGTTCCTTGCCGCATCGTCAGCAGGCAGGATGGATCATAGCACGTGGATACGGGTGCCGATGGTGATGGATTGGATGGAGTGGACGAATGGTGCTGTACAGCCATTGATGATATTGGAGCTCTCGATACAATGCAAGCAGCAGCTATTTCGCAATCATGGATAAAGGACGATTATGGCGGCAACAACCTGAAAATGCAACGACACAATTATCCCTGTTACCTCTATGTATTTCACCCGTACCTTATTCAATTTCCACCCTGTCCCTTTATCATATTTACTTGATAGAAATCCTCACTACCGTACGTTATTGGACTTTTTTTATTGAATGAAAAGTGGATTCAATGCAACATTTTGGGTATCATACTAGCAGCTGATCTATGTAACTATGTGGATCACTTGGTTGGTTTCTGGATTGGATACTAAACTACTAGGGGGGGGTGTCGCGCCTCCGATGTCGAAAGATGTCGCGCACCTAGTGTCTAGTGATTCCCTAGTTTTTGCAAGATGGCTCTCATTCTTGATAGATCATCGAACGATCGAACGAGCTCAAAGCTATCCATCTCGACGAGCCGATACATGCCATTCGCCACCAAATCCATCTTGAAAGTCTGCACTTGCATACCATCTACCCACATCCCATGTACGGCAGGGCCGGGTACTTGAAGACCCACCAACTTGTTCAGCATGCACATAAGATCTTTGGCCAGATTGATAAAATCAGACTCTGTCAGTGGTGATTGGAGTGGCTTGACCTCGACCATGAACATATCATAACGATGGCCAAGGAGCGTTGCGTGCAATGTGAAATCGGGACGAATTTTGGAATTGCTTGCTAGTGACGAATTGGCCCGGTACGAATCAATATGATCTCCATGAAAAATGTTGTTGATGAAAGGAGCCAATGAATAATGTATAAAAGTGTCTTCTGCTCCTTTCTTGACAGGCTTGTGTGCATGCAAGAACCTGGTAATCTCGATGATAATATGTGCGGCATCCAGAAGACGGTGTTGTTGTGAATCGGCCATTTTGACCAGCATTTCGCCAAACTTCTTTTCCATGGAAAGTCGCATGTACTTATGTCACCCGCAAAGGAGTCCCAGATTTCCCATCAGATTGAGAGGTTGCCTTTTTCCTACAATGTACGAGGCATCCTTTTAATAACATTTATCAATATATAAATGAGAGCTATACATACCATGAAGAGTCCATCAAGGAACACAGCCAAATGCCATCAGGCAGCAATGAGCGCACCGGGTGGTAAAGCAACAAAGTGGGCTACATGATAGATGAATGCATCATGAGTGCCATCATTTTCGATATCACATAAAGACTATCCATGAGACTTACTAGAGACCATTGATTATGATGTGCGTACAAGTAGAAAGAAAGGGCGTATGAGAGTGTTGGTGACAACAGCCTTGTTTATACGTGATTGGGCGTGAGAATTGTTGTCACGATGGATCAAACTGATAAAGTGGTCGAGCACCATGGAGTACCGAGTCAAAGTGATGGAAAAGTAACGGTTGATAAATTTGTAGGTGACATAAGTATGACCCTTGGGAATGACAACATTAGCGAAAAGGGCCCTTGTTGATTACTTTACTTCTCGAGTGATGACACTTACTTTCGACCACACCCAGCACGAGTCATATCCACCTTCGCCAGACACGAGAGACCAGTAGGCCGGTACCTTTGGCATAATAGTTGAAGGCTTGACAAGCTTAAATGATAGACTGATAATGACGCATGCTGCTTCAGACAAAGAATAAACGTTCATTGCTGTGTAAAGTTGCATTGGTTGTTGGTGTTCAAGTACGCGATGGGCTGCTTAATGTTGACAGCAAAACGGATGTCGATCCATGGGGGTTGTCGAATGTAAAGAAGCGTCCATAACAACAGGTGGTTTCATTGCAGAGATTGGTTGTCTGATTGTCTGGTGAAAAGGGGAGTGAGGTTGCGAGAATGAGAGTTCATTTGTAAAATTGATGATGTTGTTGTCACGTTTCTTAATTGAGCTACGCTAATCATCCATGACCACCTTGATTGGAATCTCCACGTCTTCTTCGACATCCTTAACCAGAGTCTCATGGCTGTAATATAGAAAGTAGGTGCATGCCCATGCAGTGATTTACAATGAGAGTGGAAAGGAGATCAAATTATTGATGCTGGTGGTTGGCATTTCCGCTCACCCCATGGTGGCCGAGAACATTTACGCTTGTGCACATTGTTTATCAATGAAGTGCCAAAGACCTATCTTTCTGAAGCAAACACTCATACATACATCATAGCTAGTGGTTTGTGATAACCATTTGATGTCAATGCTTGATGATGGAAATTGCCAGCTTGCTTATCTGAGTCCATGATTTATGCATCACACAAGGGTGTTTTGTGCAGGCGCCCCAACAATCTATCAGCTCATCACCATTCCCAACCAGCGCTTTATCATTCATTCTGATCACGGAATGCCCACGCCCACCATGCAGATATAACGAGCTTGTCGCCCACGCATACATCTCTTTCTTCCATCATCATGCCACTGTTTGATTGACGACACCTTCAAAAGCCATTGGTAACTATCATGGTAGATGGTCTCATTCTGTGAGTGATCTTTGTGTTAACGCTTGTGATGATCTTTAGCATGTCATTGTCATCCTACTTCCATTGTCATTGTTGTCATTGTGATATTTGGCTCTTTTATTAAGGTAAAATCTCACCATTTATCTTGATGAAGCATATACTTACAATGCTTCAATGTAGCTACATACCGAGAGGCCTCTGCAGATTGGATTAGGTGGCCGTATCAACCTCTGCGGCCTTGAAGTTGTCAATTCGTGGTTAGTACAATGACACTTTTTGTCCATTTGATTGGTTTACCTTTTACGTCTTACCATCTAATAGCTAGCTATTCACTAGGTGTATCATCATCATGCGGGTTGTAGTAGAATTAGCCACAGGGTATAATAACAATGCCAATTGCTTTTTCCTAGTCCTTATCTGACAGCCATTTTTAGTTCTTTGACGACTCTGAATCAGAAGGCGAGGTGACGGTGATAGTCAAAACCATATGGGGTCAGTGGAACGAATCCCTTAAAGCGGCCCTAAGCAACGACCATTTGCACCATTTAATGTAGGTGAGTGTCAAAATCACAGCTATGCACACGTTAACTTACCGTCCAATTATCTTCTAGAAATATGGGGTGATCGTATGCGGCAAGAGCATTCGGCCACGGGAGAACATGCCATGGCATGCATATTTGGAGCAACGCAAGCAACTCGACCAAAGCTTATTTTAAAGACGAGCTTGTGCTTGTGGATTCGGTATTGGATGCCGTAAGTAATATTAAAAAACGAAGGTTTGAGAGTCTTAACAGGGTAGTTGCTTGCTCTTTCTAGAAACCGGAGGAGATGGCGGACGCCGCAAGGATCTCGCCATTCAAAACGGTACCGATCCAAAAGATCATAACACGTGATCTCACTCATTCCAAAATGACATTAAACGAAGCAGTAATCTGGCCAGCGTTGAAGACAGCGATATACACCACAAACATCAACAACCAGGCTTTACAATTCTTCCCTGGTGAGGGACAGCTGTGTTCAATGACGGAGCAATTGAGAAAGAATGATAAGTGGTCTATGATATGCCACCTAAGATACATCAAAGATTAGGTTTTACCTTAATAAAAAAGCCAAATATCATAAAGAAGACAATTTGTATGTGGATTGCTCATATCACTTGAGCGTTGGAGGTGTTAGCAATCAAAGAGTGATACATGATGGAAGAAAAGTACGTGAGCGACGATATCTTTGTTATATGTAAACGATAGGAGTGGCTATCAGTGATCACAATGGATAATAAAGTGCTTGCTGGTAAATGGATCATCACTTATCAGCGCTTTCTCTGGGTCATGTGACATGTCAAAGTTTCATTGTTGGAAGCCATGCAATTTCAACCCTTTTCCTTCCACCCAACTCCTTTCCCCCTTTAAGCAGTATTGACGCTAACAACACACTCACATTGCAATGAGACAGCAGCAACACATTCAGCAACAGATGCAATGGCGTGTCACTCTCCTTTGACGTTGAATGGGCAAGCGATTCAATAAGCACCTTACCGTGTAGAGCGCGTCGATGTGGATACGGTCGACATTACTCGTCAAGGCAACACATAAGCAACAATCGACCTACATGGTAGAAGCCCCCATTGTCGACCAATACACAATGAACGACCAGAGTATTCAACGCGCACTGTTTTATTATATACGGGATTATAAAGGTATTGCTATCAGAGCCATCATGTACAAAGAAGTATTCAAATGTGGGGGTTGTGTATATCGTTTTGCTGATGATGTTCTTTTCTCTTTTGTCTACGTTGAATACATGGATTGATGCAGCAAATCAACAGCAACCACAAGGTCCATAGACCAGAAAGGATCATTACGACAATACCACCGTACAACAACCCTTTTTGCCATCCATCAGCACATACCACCGAACAGCGATCAACGACACCTGGTTTGATATCCACTCCTCCACCACAATCGACATCGCATACGTTCTTCAATGCACCCGAGCCTGCAACCATACCAATACCAGCACTCAGGATGACAATGGATAATATCAACCAAAACACTCGCCAACATGATGCCTGCGAGGATCCACAGCATGTGTTTTTTTGTCGACTTTCATTGAGTATTGAAGAGGAATAGGGTGGCATCACGTCTCGCTGCTGTTGCTGTTGCATCGGTATTGTTTCTTCAAGGTAATGAGAATTACTACAACTGCTTGCTTCAGCGGCTGCATTATTCACATGTATCCGTTTCTTTTTGTTCTCGATGGCTGTTGCATCTTGACCCATATAGTATCCCCGGGGTGTCAAGTAATAAGGTGGCGGCTCGTCCTGTGGGTGATCCAAGGTGTTGCTTCGATTTGTCGAGTGCTGTGATGATTGTCCTCGTCGTGATGGCAGCGGTGGCAACGGAGCTGTGTAGTGATCTTGTTTTGATGATGCTTGGGAGCTACTTGGATAAAAGCTCATATTCTTGGCGATGCGGGTAAGAAAAGGATAACAACATGAATCGGTATGAAAGATTAAATATATCTGTGTTAGCCTCTCAGAACTTGTTTGCGGGAAAAGAAAAGTGCACCCAGTGCTGTGAATCAATCCGATGGTGCCCATGATCAAGAGCTCACTTGCAATTCTATCACTCCTTTGGTTTGCATGGTATCGTCGTTCAATGCAAGTAGGTTATCACATTAAAAGTAGCCATCGAAAAACCAAGCTCATACATCATTCCTTTATATCGTTTAGGGCCTTGATTTCATCGTTGTGTTTGGCAATGCGGCGAAAAGACCTCCAGTTACACAAACGAGTTTCATCAGCAATGGACACCGACATTCATCGATTCTTATGGGATGTATGATGCAAGGCACTTGGATGGGATTATGATTAAGGAGTGGTAGGTATATTATTCAACGTACAACAAATGCTTGGCAGATATTAAATGATCTTTTTTCGCTTTTCGGTGTTCCTAAAATCAGAAACCGGTGCCTTGGGGGATGAGCGGGTGACGCACAGACCGACACGGACAATGACGGCACCAGCGCCGAGAATCATCATGACATGGAATTTTCATCACGGCACCGATGCAATATGAACAAGTGACGTACGCTGATTGCAATGATGGTCTTTTCAAGTGCATTCACATTGGGGTTGGGTGCGTTCTGCTCAAGGTAAAGATTGTTCATTTGACAATGCGTGATAAAGCTCCGCTTCGTTTATCTAATAAGGGATCAAAGACATTGCCGCCGCTCATCATACACCGGTGCCTTTACGTATTTCCTCCCGTTTCTTTTCTATGACATGGTGTTCTTCAATACGACACGACAAACATCACCATTCCAAAAAATGCCAGATCAAGATTCAATAGCATCCATAAACCAAGAAGATATCAACAATAATGATGCAGCAACAACGAATCATCCTGGCGGCCAACGTAGTCAACGACGCTTCTTCTTGTCATCATTCTTAAGGCGACTCAAGGCGAAACGAGGAATATCAATACGAATGCTATTTCGCTTTGCCACACCAAAGGATGGATATCTCATTGCAGCAGCATGTATATGCTCTATTCTCGTTGGGTGTCTTCAAACAGCATCTGTTGCAATTTTCGCACTTACGACGAGTGATGCCATTGAGTCTATTTCAGCAGGCGAGGCTTCATTGAATGAAGGCTTACAACCTGTCGTTGTTGGATTTGCTATTGTCGGTGGATTCATTGTTGTCGTGGCATACATTGGCAGCACATTGTGGATTATTACAGGCGAGAACCAAGCACGTTCAATACGTATCCATTATATCAAATCCCTCATGCGCCAAGATATGAGCTGGTTTGAGCTTCACGACATGGACGCAATCACGTCACGACTTGCACTTGACATGCAGCAACTGCAAGATGCCATTTCGGAGCGCTTTGGTGGACTCGTACGTGCAATTGCTGCATTCATATCTGGGTTTATGATGGCTTTTATTGCTGGATGGCAAGTTGCAGTCGTCATCATTCCGGTGCTTCCACTTTTGGGGATCATGGCCTATCTTTCGATTCATTGGCTTGTACACAGTACTTATAAGCTTCAAGATGCTTATGGTGATGCTGCATCCGTTGCCCAACAAGTGGTCGATAATATCCGTACAATCTATGCATTTTCGTTGCAAGCACGATTTTCCAACATGTACAAGTCATATCTTGTCAAGACACGCAAAGCAGGGTTACGACGAGGACTCTATGGTGGACTATGCTATGCAGCATTTGTATCTGTATTGCTTATGACCTATGCTTTGGCGATCTGGTATTCGGGAAACGTGATCGCACGTGGCAACATTGACGGCTGGAGAGCACTGACAGCAATTCTTGGCATGATGCTTGGATCAGTCACCTTTTTACAAGTTCCTGGTCACATGATGGCGATTGCTGCTGCATATGGTGTTGCATGCAAAATATTTGATACCATTGACAGTACACCTACCATTGACACTCCTCGAATTGGTCAACGATTTCCCGTAATCACCGGCCATATTGAGTTCAACAATGTCTCATTCCATTATCCAACACGTCCAGGTAACGAATACCATCGTTTATGATCTTTGATTGTCGTCGATATTTATTATATACTTTTAGACATTCAGGTGTTAAACGATATCAATTTCATGGTCCAACCAGGAACCACTGTGGCTATTGTGGGTGCATCTGGATCAGGGAAATCAACCGTGATACAGCTTATTCAACGACTCTATGATGTGTGCTCTGGAAAGATACTTGTTGATGGCATCGATATCAAGGATGTGGATGTGCGGTGGTTTCGAAGGCACGTTGCAGTTGTCAGCCAAGAGCCTAAGCTTTTCAACATGACAATTCGACAAAACCTATTACTTGGTGCACCAGCTGGCAACATAACTCAGGAGCAAATGGTGTTCGCATGCATGCAAGCAAATTGTCATGCCTTTATCTCGGCATTACCCGATGGATATGATACAAATGTTGGTGGAAATGGGTGCAAGCTCTCTGTTGGCCAAAGACAACGCATTGCCATTGCAAGGGCGATCATTAGCAACCCACCTATTCTATTACTTGATGAGGTAAATACATGTCGATTAGGAGCCTCAAGGATGTTGATATTCACATACATTCCTATAATTTGCAGGCTACATCGGCATTGGATACAAACTCAGAACTAGCCGTTCAACGCGCTCTTGAAACAGCTACAGCACGTCGTACAACTTTCATCGTAGCTCAGAGGTTATCAACCATTCGTAACGCTGATCAGATCATTGTCATCCAACATGGAAAGGTTGCTCAAGTTGGCACTCATCAACAGCTGCTCCAGCAACGAGGTAGCACATACGCCAAATTAGTGCGTCTCCAAGAAATTGTCATCCAGCAACAACAACAGCGAGAAGACGTGTCTAGTCATGAACAACATGTTGCCATGACAACCGCGGCTCATCAAAGTATCATTGATTATGAGAAAGAAAGGATGCGTCAAACGCCAGCAAGCGATAACACGTCCGATTATCATACAGCATTAGCAGTGACCCCTGTTAACGCAACCGACAACATGATGATGGATGCCTATGAAATTCGACGAGCCAATGACAAGAACGCAACCAAAGAAATGGCCAAAAAGCGTGCTCCAATATTGAAAGTGATTCGACAAATGCATCGCAACGAACGATGGCTACTCGTATTGGGAATTGCTGCTACTGCTTTTGCCGGTTTTATTTTCCCTGCTGTCGCTTACATTATTTCACATTCAATACTCGGCTTGGTGCAAAAGGATCAAGCGTCCAATATGGCGGATGGATATGGATTCTGTATCTTCCTCTTTGCCCTTGCAGCTTTTGTCATTTATGCATTGCAATTGATTTGCTTTGAAGCAGCAGGAGAATTGTACACCGAACGGTTGCGTGGACAAGTGTTTGATGCCTACCTTGGACAAGAGGTTGCTTATTTTGATCGCCATACGACGAGCGTCCTTACATCTCAACTTGCTGTGGAGGCAAGAAACGTGTATCAGCTAGTAACCAAGGTGCCGGGAGACATTGTACAAATCATTTTTACTGCAATTACTGGTAAGCGTATAGTTGACTTGTGGATTTAGTACACCACCAATTAATAAACATGTATAGGCTTGCTGATTTCCTTCCTACAAAGTCCATTGATGACAGGTGTTGTCTCTGCATTATCTCCCATCGTCATGGGTGCGAGCTTCTATGAAGCACACATACAACGAAGCTATGAACACAAATCGATCCAAGCCCACGAACAATGCAACATCATCATGTCCGAAGCTGTAAAAGAGATCCGCACCGTTGTCGCACTTGGTCAACAATCCTTTTTTGAATCGCAATACCGCAAAGCAATTGAGCATCCACACCGCATTGCCAGGTCCAAAGCTTTCCTTTCCTCTATCGGCAACGCACTTAACCAAGGTTTCATGATGCATGTTTCAGCATTGTCTTTGCATTTGGGCACGCAATACGTCGATCAAGGGATTCTGGATCCTACAGCAATGTTTGTTTGCTTGTTTTGTGTGCTTGTGTCTGTGCACAGTATTGGTCGCCTTGGTGCATTTGGTACAACATACGCACGAGCCAAGTATGCAGCTATTGCTGTGTATGCTATTCTTGAACGTAAGCCCGAGATCATCACTGATACGGAAGGATTGGAACCAGCGAATGTGGATGGCCATGTTGGATTCCATAATGTTGCATTCAGCTATCCCACGAGACCTGATACAGCCGTGTTTAATGGTGACTTTACGATGGAGGCTAAGGCTGGCATGACGATTGGATTAGTGGGACCTTCAGGATGTGGCAAATCAACGGGTATTGGCTTATTGCAAAGATGGTATGATCCTACCGATGGCAGTGTCACTTTGGATGGGAGCAGCACGCGTGGCTATACGTTGAATTCTTTGAGACAACCCATGGCACTCGTTTCGCAAGAACCTGTTTTGTTTGGATTATCCATTGGTGACAACATTTGGTTGGGATGTGCGAGCCGTGAAGATGTTCAAGTTACACGACAACAAGTGGAGGATGCTGCTCGCTTAGTTGGCATGCATGATTTCATTACCAGTCTTCCTCAAGGGTATGATACGCGTATAGGATGCAGTAGCAGCAGTCGAGGTATTCAATTGTCGGGTGGACAAAAGCAACGCATCGCCTTGGCACGTGCTATGATTAGACAACCCAAAGTACTTTTATTGGATGAAGCTACATCTGCTCTTGATGCCGAATCAGAACAACACATCCAAAATGCCATTGATCAACTCATTCATCAAGCTGATCGCACGATTTTCATCATCGCTCATAGACTCGCCACTGTGCAAAATGCTGATCTTATTTGCTATATCCGTGATGGACGTATTATCGAGCAAGGAACACATTGGGAGCTACTACGAAAAAGGGGCGAATACGCTGCACTTGTTCGCCTTCAATCCCTTCGATAGATTATCATCATATTACCCATATACCCATGCACTCATTGATGTCTACGATTGTCACATTTGATATTGTACCTTTTTCTTTTCAATATAAACACGTTTCCTGTAAGCCTAGCGATTTGTATAAATAGACAAGCGTTTGGATCTAGGTGATCCCTACCTGCCACACTCCTAATGAAATACCATGTTATCATCCTCACGTAGTCGCGTACATTATCTACCAGTTTGCTTGTCGACTTACATGCGGACACTAATATCGCTGTTCTCATATTAGCCAGCCAACATTAGTATAAGCATAGCAGAACCATCATCTGCAACGAATCAATACCATAGGGGCTCGTCGTATTGTCCCTTTATTTATCCCTCTCACGCAAGTATATAGGAGGGCGAGGTTCCCACACTATTGTGACACTGATGGCGTTTGTCTCAATATCATTCATATCCTTTGTTTCACTCTTCTTTCTTCCAAGTGTCAAATGAGCAGCAACGGGAATACAACTGCTGTCGAAGAAAAATGGGTGGATGAAACAAACAGCAAGAGTAACCAATCTACTACCATCGATAAAGAATTTAAAGAACTTCCAGATGGTGGATGGAGGGCTTGGTTTATCGTCTTTGGTACCTTCCTTGTAAGTCTTTACGCCGATAGATTGTCGAAAGAGAAGTAATGTAAATACCGTATTTACTTGCATAGGGGTTATTTGCTACGTAGGTACAACATTTGATCACGAAAAGACCTTTGATCATGATGCTTACTCGTGGTCATTGTTATGTAATTCTTCCTTAGAACGGGAGCTGGGTTTGCGTAAGTATCATTCATTTTATGGTACAATGAACACACTTCCTAAAGAGGGGGCCTTGTATAGATGGGGAGTTTATCTGAACTATTACAACACGGAGGTGTTTCCCAATAACATGACCAATTTGAGCTGGATTGGCGCGCTGTGGTCGTTCCTGTGTAACAGCACAGGCCCATTGTATGCTTGCATCAACTCTAAAATTGACGATCGGTATACGATACTTATTGCCGGCATCCTCAGTTCATTATCCATGATGCTTGCTAGCATTACACATGAGGTATTTTATTCATGTCGTCTTCGTACACGTATTAACATCTCAATGCCAGATCTGGGGATTGTACCTTTCGCAAGGGGCTCTGGCAGGCCTGACAGCATCACTTATATACTATCCTTGTATCAATCAAGTCTTGGTCACATTCTCAAATCGGCGATCTATGGCTCTTGGGATGAGCATGGCCGGCATTGGTATTGGCAGCCTCGTGTTTTCGAATATTGCCACCGCCTGCTTTTCAACCGTAGGATACAGGTGGTCATTAAGAATCATTGGGTTCATTCAGCTGGTGCTGTGCACTATTGCCGCATTGTCATGTGTCAAACTCAAAAGCTATTTTTCCACACGTGGCGTTTCTTTTTGGAATATGGACGTGTTTCGGTCCAAGCGGTTTTGGATCCTGCTTGGTGCTCATTTTATAGGTCCTTTTGCGTTTTATGTATGTTGTGACGTTCTCATGGATGATGATGAAGACATTTTTCACTCACCTTACCACACACAAAGATTCCAAGTGCCTTCATTGCGCCCTATGCAGGATCGATTGGTATGGATGCATGGAGCATAGCCAATATCAGTGGACTCGTGGGTGTATTCAAATCGGTGGGATCAGTCATATTTGGATACCTTGCGGATCGCTTTATTGGACGTTTTAATATGGGTGTGGTAGCTGGCTCATTGGGTGTCATATCATTCCTAGCAATATGGCTGACAGCAACTACTCCCGCTGCTGTATGGACATTTGCAGCTCTCTATGGCATTGCAGAAGGAACGCTTACTGATATGATGATCACCGTGATTGTCGATTGCGTTGGTTTAGAAAGGTCCAATGCTGGAACTGGATGGGCGCTCTTTTTATGGTGCTTTGGAGGGTTGCTAGGACAACCACTGGCATCAGTCCTTGTCAACAACACTGAAACTCCCGATTATAAACCAGCCATCATTTTTGCGGCGATGCTCTACGTAGTTACTACATTGCTCATGCTTTCCTTGCGCGTGCTCTTTGGTCGTTGGAAGGTTTTCATAAAGGTCTAATTGTATTTATTCATCGATGTACTACATGAATGGTTGATCCATATAAAAACCCCACGTTTCATTGTAAAGTTTGGAGATACAGGCGTCTTTATGTTTGTAAGCGTGATGCTATATGAGAAGTGGTCTTTGTTCATTGCCAAGTAGCTAGACCTTGGAGAGCCAAAGATGCAGAAGGAGCTCTTTGGGTAACTCAGCTAAAAAGTCAGGACTTCAGGGACAATGCATGAAAGGTACGCAACCCTCACACTACGGGAAAAAAGTTGGCTATTCTTGGGTTAAAAGCTGGTGAAAAAATCCCCCGTTTTTTGGGTGACTTTTTACCAAACGACCCAAAAATCACCAACAAGATCACCGGTTTATCACCATAAGATCCCCCATATCCCCTACATACAACCATGATTTCACCAAAAATCGCCAACGAGATCACCGGTTTATCATCATAGAATCATCATTATCACCAAGTTTTCCCCTAAATACAACCATGATTTCACCATAATCACCCATGGCATAACAACTA